CTTTTCTTAGATGGCCTCATAAAATGTACTCTTCTAGATTTTGCGTTGTGGTGTTTCACTTTTGCCTTAAACGTAGTAATACAAATATGATGCTCTTGGATGTTTTTCTTTAAAAAGAAAATGAAAAGAAATGACGATCACTCATGGGCATCTTCCCTTGGCATTAATGATAAACTTACATTTAAATTGTAGCTTTTGGTCCCTGTTCTGTGTAGCCTCTACAATAGTAACTTCAAGCTAGCAACCAAAGACCAAATAATGATGCCACATTTGGGCCTGAACATTGACAATAAACAATGGCAGGTCCATCACAAACGTATCTTTAAAAAGCAGCAGAAAAACATCATACATCGCAAAGAAACAAACGTTTTTGTTTTTTTTCCTCAAACGTCTTTCACATGGACACAAATTAAGCTTAATTGGAAATAGGGTTTGGGGATGGGATTCTTCTAAACACCTAAGCATAAGTGATAACTTCTCTGTTATATCTTCAATCACAATTTCATTTTAAAATTAATATACTTTACAGGTTTTTTCTAAAGTCACTATAAAGGTCTATTTGTAATAAGTTTTATCCAGCTTTTAAGAAACATTACATAACTGATAACCAACATTTCAAATAAAATACCACTCTGCACATAAGGCATATGTTTTCCAACAACTCATTTAAAGGGGCAGGTTCTAATGAAACTAAAATGTTACTCACCATCAGCTGAACCACTGGAAAGAGACCAATAGTAAGAATACTGTGTTGCCATTAACCATGGGTACAGCTTGAGACAGCTCTTATTCATACTAAGATCTAAATGTATTTAAAGCCACCAGATCAACTCTATATTAATCACTCAACAACTTAATTAAGGTAAACCATCTTGTCAGAAAGCTTGCTTCTTCTCTATTTTTCAACATTATCAACTTTTAATCCGTTACCAAACTAGTAGGTGCTTGTTAATGGCGTTATCAAATGTCTTGGATACAAAAATCCAGCATGTACAAAGCCAGTTCTGCACATATCCTCATGGCAAATGAAGGGAGATATTCGACCCATCAGAGTGGTCATCAGAAGTGCAAAACCTATTATGCTCTTTTCTCTATACTTCTGGTTAGATTGAAAGTGACAGGACACACCAGATCAAAACCAAACAGACCTCCAAGTAGCATACAATACCCTTATGAACCCTTAGAAATCTAAGTATTGATTTGTCAATATCTAAGCTCAATTAGCCCTCCCAGAACAAATATCTCATGAGGTGACAAGAAACTAGTCTGAGGTCTGGGATGTACTGCTAAGTGCAGTGACAGCACAGTATGAGGATCTTGTGAGGATTAAATAAAGACGCATGATGCCAAGTTAACGATCTACGTGGTCCAGGGACTGGCACATAGCTAATGTTCGACATGGCGAGCCCTTCCCCAGTTCTTTAAGAACTCTGGCTTATCAAATCAGAGACCCTTTGACGGTTTAAAGAAAGCAAACAAACTAAGACTAAAACCTCAAGTGCAATACAGACAACACATCTAAAGGAGCTTGATATTTAAAAATAACAAATTAGCAAAGGAAAAAACTGTTCCTGAAAGCATCTCTGACTGGCTCAACCGTTAAGGTGCATATTTTCTAAGATCATCTTCAGGGATAAGCTTTGGCAAAAAATAGGCCAAGTGCAAACTAATTCCATTTGGGAATGAAACTCTGGTGATGCTTTCAGCAGGTGAACAATTCCTTCCAACAGCCCTCCCACTGGATACACTTCAAGCTTTCAGCAACTGCACTCTCCAAACACACCAGCAACAAGACCGTGAAGCTAATTTTTTCATTGGCATTGTTAACAGGAATTCAATAAATCATTTGCTTTCCCTCCCAAAAATTCTAATATAAACATTTCTTCCAGTTCTATGAAAATGAAGCTTATTGAAAACAACACCATGATAATGATGTATTTTAGAAATAAAGATATGATGGCTAAGAAGTATTAAGATCAAGTACACACAAGTTGCCCTTTACTATATGACTTCCGGGAAGCTATGTCTCAGGGATTCAGTTTCTTCTAAGGTTCCTTTCATCTCTAAAAAATGACATGATTACGTACAATAGCAAACAAACGCCAGCATCCTTCCTATACACACATACGCTTACATAGAGATTCATCTTTATTAAAATGCATTAAGAGAGTAAAAGAGTGAGTGAGTGAGTGAGTGAGTGAGTGAGTGAGTGAGTGAGTGTGTGTGTGTGTGTGTGTGTGTGCTGGGTGTGCATTGGGTGACTGGACCCAAGTGCTTCCTTCTGTTGTTAGGGTGTTTACACAGCCTCATGACGCATGAATTAACCAAGTAAGCCTTTAAAGCCTTACAACAAGACATTAAAATTCAATGTGGCTGTAATCTCTTCCTTACAAAACATAGACCCAAAAAGCCTGGCTTCAAGTATGGTTTTCTGTTTTTGTTTTTAAAGCAAAATGTATTATATATATACCACCCAGCTCTTCTACTACATGACCAGGTTTAAAAAACAAAGCAAAAAAAACAAAACAAACCGTATACGCACAAATGAAAACTCACAAGCCCATTGTAATACACTGTACCACTTCTGAATACAACACTTAGCTCAGGCTTACTACCCTGACAAATAAAGGAAAGCACTTTATGAAGCCAATTTAATTGGGAGGTGACAGAAAACATACAGCCATTCTCTTTAGCCTTATCATTGAATTGGCTTCAGCTCCAATCTCTGGCAAATCCCACTCAACAGAAGAAATTAACCAGGTCAGCAGAACAGGTGCTTCGTTGTGTCTGTCAAGGGCCTGGCATCACCACAATTACTTGCACACAATGAAGCAATAATCTTTACAGATCATCTCTCACAAGAAGCATATTGGGAGGGGGAGGAAAACTGAAGAGAGGCAGGGGGGAAAGTGGGAAGAAGAGGAATAGGAGGCAAAGAGAAAAGGCAAGAAGAGAAAATGAATGTGCAGCTGCCTTGCAGCTCAGCAGATGTCGGGCTGTGATGTACGAGGCTAGGATAAGCTGTCGTAGCCTGCTGCCAACGAGTGGTAAGTGATTAAAGCCTGCACAGTTCTAAGCACCATATTTAGAATCTGCGGGGTTTCAAGATTTGCACCCATTCCTTGCTGTGCTGCCAGATGTTGGCAACTGGTCCAGTTCCTACTGACTGTGCACGGATGGCAGCAGTTGGTACAGCAGCAAAGCAATATGGAATGCTTCCGGAGACGCTGTACATTAACAAGTGTCACCCATCATTCACCTTTACAGAAGGCTGAAACAACTCCAATTTGCTGCCACTTCCCTCTTGGGAAGCAGCCAAGATAAAGTTGTGCCTGGCAGCCCCATTTGTTTCACTCAGGTGTTTCGGCTGCCTTGCTGACCTCTATTAGTTTAAGTTTTAATTTAGATTAACCCCGGCACCCCAATTAACCAGCAAGGAGAAAAGCGAAGATGTGACTAGTCATAACTCTGAAATCAGAATTTATCGAAGTTAGAATTATTAATTGGGATGAAGGGCCAATCAAGGAATGGTATTTCTTTTTTAAACAGACCTTTAGGCAAAGGGGGGTAGGAAATCTCTGAGACTAAGGATTGCCAGTGGAGGCAACTTCTCTCCAGTCATTTCAGTTTATTTTATTAAACCTATTTAATTTATGGTGCACTTTCCATTGAGCTCTGTACATTCCAATTAATGGAGACTGGAACATTTTTGATGGTCTCCTGTGATCTCACACATTTTATACAGCATTAATATCCTATACCAGGTACTTCCTTAGAAACTCCGGATAAAGTAGAGTTCCCTATTCGTCTGACAAATGAAAATAATAGGAGAAGGAAAGGAAAAATGAATCAGGATCTCTGACTGGTAACACCTGAGGCCACACCAATCCTCTTTCCCACACCCTCTCATCATTACTCTTAAGACTCACTTATGGCAATAATCTTACTGGATATTACAGAGCGAATAAAGAGACTAATAGAAAGTCCCTGTCTCTCTCTCTCTCTCTCTCTCTCTCTCTTTTTTAAAGGAAAAATCAGAGGCACTCCCATTACAGAATCACTGTTTCTACTGTATGTTTCCTCGACAGGGCCTTTCTTCCATATTCAACACACAGTACAGCTGCTTTGGCTAGCCTTCAACAAAGAATTGCAAATTTTTTCGCAAAAGAAAATGAAGCAGAAAAAAAAGTTATCTGGATAGGCAATAGGTTCAACAAAAATGGGTGTATCACTGCTGAACGGTATCCTTAAAACCTCCAGAGAGCTAGAAAAAAAGTACAGCCTAATGCACATTTCATTAAGCAGTATAACTTATCAAGACTCGGGGTTTTAAGAAATCATGTTAGTTCTTTAGAATAGTCAGTTTACCTTATGGTCAGTCTACCCAGCAGTCATCAGCACCATTACAAAGAACAGAATGCCAGCAGGTAATACAAGAATGTAAGGAAAGGATGGGGGAAACAGTTTATGAAGAGATACTGAGAACTTGATCATATTTCAGCTTCTTCCAATTCATGCTGCCTTCACAGCATTACATTATTATAACAGTCAACAGTAGTATCCACTTTCAATACATACTTAAAGGAGTTGAATAGGCACAAAAAGACATTAGATAGAGGCAAGAGATTTTAATGGGCAACAGAACCAAAAGCGTACTTCAAGAAAGCTGGGGCCCCAGTTCTCTCCCTCCAGATCTCATTCTCAGAGTAATGAGATAAGACACCTACTAAACAAAATTCCTGTCCACAACTAACAAAGAATCAACCTAGCTCAAAAAAGTTAAAACAGGAAACTCACACTCAGCAACGACTAGCCAAAGAAATGAACACAGAAGAAAGGGAGCATCTCCAGAACTAGTCAGCTGAGAACAGGAATTCTGACTCCCTACCTGGTTCCAGCCTCCATCCAGAATAAGAGTTTTGTGTTCATAGGATTCTATAATCCTTTTGTTACCTAATTTATAACAAAAGAGTGTTTTTTAAAAAAGAAATAAATCACACCTGGTGGTAAAAGTCATCATCATCAAAGATTTCTTCATCCAAGTCCTTCAAGTGAGCATTGACAGGGGCCTGCGGAAGGACCTCCTAAACCATCGGAAGAAACAATCAAGTCCCAATCAGGTTACCAAGGAAATGCAGTTACTATAAACAATGTATATAATGGTCAAAGCACTGTTTTCTTAAGATATAAAGAGCTCTTAAAATAATATTTTTTAAAAAACACAACCCAACAAGAAATAATAAATTTTTAAAAAGCAAAACAAAACACAGTCCCGTAGAAAAAATGGGCAAAATGAACACACTGCTGACTCACACATAGTGAGGGACCCCACAGAGGACAGAGTGAGCTGCCCCACAAGGTCCCAAGGCTGCACTTCTTTACAGAAGCAGGCTTTCTCCTGCTTCTCCTTGGCAGTGGCTGCTGGGCTTAGCCCTCCAATCGACTGGTTAGAGGCTCGGTGCTTTAACCACTGAGGCGCCAAAGCTGAAATAGTCAATGACTACATAAAAATGTTTAACTTCGCTCAAAGTAAATACATGTAAATTAAAATGATAAAGTCTGATTTTACCTGTAAGGTTGGCAACATTCAATATTGAAGAACACAGAGAGAATGAAAATCAACACGGTCTTTTTGAAGGCAATTTGGCAACATACATCAAGATTTAAAATGTGTACACTCAGTGATCTAAAACTTCCTCTTCAAGAAATTGATCCATATATTCATAAAAATACCAATCAAAATGTTCAAAAAGGTTTAGTGTAGCACTATTTATAAAACTGGAGACAAGATAAATATCTATTTTCAAATATATTATGATACACACCCACACAATGAAATCTGCAATCACAGGAATAAGGATGTAAATCACCTAGTAATGATATGGAGAAGTGTCTAGAATACACTAAATTTTATAAGCTGTGATATTTTATATATACGTATATATGTATGTGTATATATATAGCTGTAATACAGTTTCTAAATTTATATGTGCACACATCTATTCCATTTAATAAAGGAGAAAAAAGAATATTTTTATATACTCGGATGTGTATATGTTGTGTGTTAGCTATTATATTCATATTAAATACCTGGAAACCTGTTATAAACTATTAACAGTGGTTAAATATAAGAAATGGAAATTTTGGGCTAAAGAGTATTGTACATCTCATTTTAAATTCTTCTGGACTTTTAAAATATATATTAAGTATGTGTTTCTTCCATAATTAAGAATTTTAAATACTTCCTTTAGGCAAGAGAAGTTAATTATCCCTCTAGATCCTTCCTATAGTATCTTAAACATCCAACGAAAACCCTGCAATTCACACATGCTCTAATACTGACTTTTCTATTTAGCTTTAAAACTAATTCTATAAATTAGATCGAGTGCTTCCTTTACCAGATTCCCATACTAAACTCAAAATTAAGAGACAACTGCACACAGCAGTTAATAACAGTTCCTTTTAGTTGTTTACTTTCTCCTCCCACACATTCTCATTTTCTCACAATTCAATGTTTTCTTTTTTCTTTCTTTCTCTAAATCCTTAGAGGAAGAGTAATCCCTAGAAGATGATAAAATTTTACAGTTGATTAGCTTCACACAACCCGCTCCCCACAATCACCCTGTATCCCAGGGTTCTTACCAGTTGTCCTGGCAAACGCTCAGGGGCAGGCTGATCTGTCGGTTCAGGTCTGCCAAGAACTCGGTAGACAGAGCGCTTGGTCTGTGTCCTTCGTAGTAATCTTTCTTTGTCCATCAGAATATGATCGATCTGAGTCAAGATTGAGCGTTCGAAGGCACCAAACCCCTGCAACAACATTAACCAGTGTCAGATAATGCAGGAAGGCAGTGCTGAAGGCAGCGACATGGTTTCTCTATCTTTCTGTGTCAGCAGAGAAATAGACAATCCTCTTTTCCGAGGAGGCATTCTGTTAAAGACTGAGTTTGTGAGTGGCTAGCATTGTTCTCAGGGGGAAAAAATAGTCTTAATAAGTAGGTCATATTCTTTTTCTATAGCTAGGTTAGCTTCTGCTCCTTCATTAACAATTTTTTAAAATCCCTTTCTTTAAGGTATTTTTTATTTTCATTCCTTAAACACTTAGTGAGATCCACAATACCTAATATAAACTTAAACTCCCAAACCTGCATGGTATGAATCCTCAGTAAATTTTGCAACAGAAAGTACTATTGTTAACTATATCATGAAGTCATCCGTATACATGAGCTACTGTTCCAATTTCTTTAAACACTGTTTCAGGTTGCCACAAGCTCCCTCTCTCCTCCCTCCCTCCCTCCCTCACTCTCATACTTGCCTTTCCCAGTTTTCCAGAAGCGAGCTTGGTTTTGTCATGCCACTTCTGAAGTGTGCGGTTCCTGTACACTGTAAAGTCAGCGAAGCGCTTTGCCATGAAGTCGGGGTAGTCGCCCGTCTCCAGTCTCCTCTTTGGGGGGGCCCTTCTCCTCGGCTTCTTCTCCTTAACCAGCTCATCCTCTTCACTCGAAATCTCCTCCGCACTAGAAGATCAGTACGAACACTAGGTCCCATGTGAAGAAACAACCAAATAAAAGCTAGACTCACTCAGGCTTTGCCTATCCCGTCTACAATTTACATTTTAAATAACACCATCGTCACAGGAGAGTTGCTTTACTTGTTGGGGAAAAGAACAAACTGTGCATGAGATCAATCAAAAACTCATGTAACTTTTCAAATAAATATAAAAAGAACTGGTGTCAATATATATATGTGTGTATATATACATACATATATATATGATTTTTAAAGGTAAGAAAAGAAAACCATAAAAATGAGGTTGTAAAAACATGATTAGAAATGCCTATCAGCCAGGCCTGCCCTGCTACAGGAGGGTCTTTATAAATTAAACACATAATCATACTTCTATGACCTTAATCCCCAAATCAATAAGGAAAATGTGTCTCCCTGCAACCAACTGTTCAGGAAAGCTGAATAAATGTTACTTGAACTAAATAAAGAGAGGCTGAATATGAAGAAAAATAAAAGAGGCACACAACAGAATGGGCATTAAATCTGCCTTAGACTGTAACATAAGCCTCTAGAACAGCGGTTCTCAACCTGTGGGTCACAACCCTTTTGGGGAGCAAACGACCCTTTCACAGGAGTCGCCTAAGACCATCGGAAAACATATTTCTGACGGTCTTAGGAACTGAGATACTGCTCCTCCATCTGTCTCCAGGCAGGTCCGCCCACATGCAAATACGCCCACATACAAGTACCATGCTTCAAGACAAAATTTCATTTATTTTTAATTAGAAATAAATATTTCACAATATACAATTACATGTTGTTTTTGTGATTTATCACTATGCTTTAATTATGTTCAATTTGTAACATTGAAAATATATCCTGCATATCAGATGTTTATGATTCATAACAGTAACAAAATTACAGTGATGAAGTAGCAACGAAAATCATTTTGTGGTTGTGGTTCACCACACATGAGGAACTACACTAAAGGGTCACAGCATGAGGAAGGTTGAGAACCACTGCCCTAGAACCAGCTGCACTCACAGGATTACTGATGCCAGCACATAGGAGGTGCTCAATAAATTCGAGCTTCCTTTATTTTTCCTTCTAACTAATTCAAGGGAAAAGGATAGAGCAAAGGGCAAACCCATGGAGAGAAAGCAAGGAGGCATCTTACAGAGGAGGCTCAATCACAGGAGAGCCTTCATGAAGTGTTGTAATTTCAGAAAATAAAAAGGGCTACTTTGTTGTTCTTTCTGAAATTTCCCTTTAAGTTAACTGCTTCTTCCCTCCTTGGAGAGGAGATGGTGGTGATCAGTGATCCTGTGATATGGACATAAAGTGCTTAATAAACATTAAGCATGGATATTTTAAAATACGCTTTTATTAGCTTAGATCTAGATAAAAGGCAAGTCTTTTGCCTAAGCCCACAAAGACAATCCAGGCACAACTAAGCATAAAAATCCAAAACCTAGTTACCAATCTCTGTGCTATCCTGGCCATCTGTTAAATGTCAGAGGCTCTTTCTACTGTATTAACAGTATTTCTGATGTCGATCTGGAAAGGATTTAGCTTCCTTTTCCGTAAATGATGGGAAAGGGTCCAGATGAATATTACCTATAAGCAACTCCACAATTCCATTCCCTCCTTACCTTTCTGCTTTGGGCTTTGTGCCATCAACTAGGTATCTAGTGTCTGGGTACTGGACAAGCAACTCCTCCTGAAGATCCACCAATGACCTCAACAGTGCTTTAAGTGCTTTGTGACCTAGGAAATAAAAGGCATAATTGCTTACAATTCTTCAAAGAGGTGATGCTTATATTGGTAGCTCCTAACTCTTGAACAGTTCTGGCCAGGGATTGGAAGGTATTTAAGGGGCCAGATGGAGGAAGGACACAGGGTACACATAGACTAAGAACTCTTTGAAATATACAATTTCCAATTGGAAATGGTAACAGGCTTACTTCAAAGGTTGTTGTGAGAAGCAAGAAAGATAACATATAAAAGAGGCTTAGTAAAGTGTCTACCGTGAGAATTCCATAAATTGTCGGTTCTTAATAAATGTTAACTTGACAAAATCCCTTTCCAGCCTGTCACCCTAACCAATCAATACCTGCCTTTGGTACTAGTTTCTTAAGTATTTTTCTACAAGGTATATCCTCTGACCTCTGAGACTATGCCTATATCAATCACCTCCTTAAATAATGCCTCTTACTATCCCAAAGAGCACACTGTAATCCTGGGGCCCCAACTCACAGCTCCACCTCCACCTGCCCTGCTCAGGAGATACCATTTGCCTCTGGAGCTGCTACATCATTCATTCAGTGTCAACACATATCCTTATGGACAGTCTCTGTTCACATATGAAAACCCAAGGTAATGGCTTAGTATTTACTCTGAGTTGTGTGTTACACTAATTTGTACAATGAGAATAAGGTCTTATATGGCTCTTCTTATAGTTAATAGGACAGACACATTTGTGATATAGTTGACTGACAGCAAGGTCAGCAGTTTGAAACCACCAGCCCCTCTGCAGGGGAAAGCTGAAGCTCTCCACTCCCATAAAGATTTACACTCTTGGAAACCCACATAGGGCAGTTCTACTCTGCCCTGTAGGATTACTGAGTCAGAACTGACTCGATGGCAGAGCCCAGGCTTAAATGTATGGTTCTCAGTTAAGAATAAAGATTAGCCTTCTGAGAATTGAATCCCTTCTTTCTCTTATCAGCATAATCCACTAAAGGGACTAGCTGGATTCTGCTAATCATCAGCTTTAGGTTGATGGCATGCAAACGCCTCATTTCCAACAACTGTAAGAAAATCTTTGCATGAATGCTACATAATTTCTGTAATGTATAATATCAGAAACAGTGCTCTTTTTCTTCCCACTTAGTCCTTCTCCCTCGTCTAAATTTCTGTTCTCCACTTGATGTGTTTTCATGGGGTATCACTGACATTTTGATGCCCCCTATTCTAGATATTTAATCAGTTGCTAAACCCTGTATTTTCCATTCTAATTGTCAATTACTGTCCACTTGCCACTGGCCATGCTTCTGTCACTCCTCTACTTCACCGAAAAAAATTATCATTGTTTCACAAGCACCTCTATGGTCACTCAACTTGTTCACCAACTTAAGACCACACACACTTAAATTTTTGCTAAAATATTTTTATGATTAATTCTTTTCATCCTGCTTTACCCTTCCCTGCATCAACACTTTCATCTCTCAATCTATTTTACCAATGGGACATCAATACAGGAGATGAACAAACCTGTAGCAACCCTACGGCAGAGTAGAACTGCCCCAGAGCACTTCCAACACTGTAATCATTACAGAAGCAGATGGCCACACAGGGATATAATGAGGGTGCTGTCACTCCTCTCACATCAGACTGTGCAGAATCTTTATCACTGTTTGGTAGCAATTTTAGTCATAGAATAAAGTGTAATACATATAGTTGTAAATTGCTTACATGTAATATTTCTTAGAATATATGAAAAACAATGATCAGATTGTTTTGAAAAGTCTTTCTACATTAAATTATTACATTATTAGTAACCAAGTGGAGGCCTTTGTAAATTTTTTTCTACTTTTAACTATTACTTAAAAAAAACTATTCTCAAAAAAAAAACAAAAGAGCTATTGCTATAGGTTCACAAATTCTAACTTATAAACTATTGTAGCGAACATACCAGAACATCTGACAAAAACAGCAACTATAAAAACACCAGCAGCCACAAAAACACCACATGTATGGCATGTGCCAATGAAACGGCATGATTGGAAACATCACTGTAATTGAAGAGTTAGGGTAGCTCTGTTAGAAAAGTGTATAGCCTTGTGTGGTTTAGCCTTGTCTGAATACTGCAATAGGACATTGTTTTTGGTTCCATAAATAACTACAGGAATATTTTTATTAAAAGTAACATTTCTGCTGAAGCACTGTATGAAAAATTTTTAAATCATCACTTTGGTGTCACCCCCCCTTTGACAGTATCGCCCAGTGTGGGCTGTGCCCTCTCCACCCATCTGGTGCCACCACTGCTGCTACATCTCTCTTCTGTGGGACGCCTGGTGGCTTCAAATTGCTGATCTTTCAGTTAGCAGGCAAGCACTTACCCACTATGCCACCGAGGGGCTATCTATCATACTGCAGCATTCCATTTCAACACAGACTAAGAGCTCACTCACCTGGCAGAAAGGAACTCAATAACATACAGGATTGCATTGCTTCAAATGACTGCATCTAAGACAATCTAAATACAACTTCCCTGTGAGAAACAGCAGTTAAAACTTTTTATGACATTTTCTGGATTCTGTCCTCTCAGTCTTTTAATAATCCACGCATATCCAAATCCACTGGAAGGATTTTCAATACATAAGGATTACCTGAAAAATCTAAAGTATCCTGTGTTCTAGATCAAGATTCTCGACCTTTATCTAAAAAAAAACAAAATCAAGAAACTTTCTACCAAATATGGAGATAAGTGATACTCATAAAGGATAGTATATAACTATTCTTCTGTGAGCTTTTAAGAAATATATAAGAAAATCAGACACGAAGAAAAATAGGAATATATAACAATTTTAAAGACAAAAATTATTCAGTCTAAATATATAAGTAGAAAACTGTAGAAATATGAAAAATTTTATGGGAATAAAGAGAGACTATAAGTGCTTGTTACTACATATGCTCAATTATGAAAAGAGCAAAGACAGAGCAGCCAATGTACAGAGAGGACCACAGGGCCGGCCTCACCACGAGACACATGTCCCTCGCTGACCCATAGCACTACAGGGGACAACACTGGAGACACCATGCGGGAATTATGCCCAATCTGCCCCCGCCACACTAGGGTGAAACACTAAAGGTGTGCAACAGAGCAGCAAGGGGAGCAAAGCAATCAAGTAAGTCCCTGGAGAATACCAAAAATAGACTTTGAGGCCTGGGCATGGCACCCCATCAGACTCCACCTCCACGTCAACAATTGCTTATAGGCCTTTTTTTTTTTTTTTTTTGGTCATTGGTTTTCTTTGTTGTTGTTTTGGTTTATTGTTTCCTTTTGTTGCTTTGTTTTGCTCTGTCTTGTTTTTATGCTTATTATTGTCTCTACATGCCTATGTAGATAAGATAGGCGGGATAAATGATGTGGAGGAGAAAACAATGGGACCAACAGTTCCAAAGAGGGACACAGGAGAGGGGGGAGGCAGGGGAAAGGAAGAGGGGTGTCAACCAACCCCAAAACAAGGGAACAACAAATGATCTAAAATTGATGGTGAGGAGGGTATAGGATACCTGGTGGGGCTTGATCAAGGGCAATGTAGCCAAGAGGAATTACTGAAACCCAAATGAAGGCCAAACATGATAGTGGGACAAGAAGGTAAAAGGAAATAGAGGAAACAACTAGGAGGCAAAGGACATTTATAGAGCTCTAAATAGAGGTATGTACACATGTAAATACATTTATATATAACAATAGGGAAATAGATCTATGTACATATATTTATATTAAGTATTAAGGTAGGAAACGGATATCAGCCTCTACTCAAGTACTCCCTTAATGCAAGAAAACTTTGTTCAAATAACCCAGCATTCTGTGATGTTCACCTTCCTGACAGGATTGCTGAAGACAAAGAAGGTGCATAAGCAAAAGTGATGAAGAAAGTTGATGGTGTCCAGCTATCAAAAGATAAAGCGTCTGGGGTCTTAAAGGCTTGAAGATAAACAGCCAGGCAGCTGAGAGGCAACAAAGTCCACATGGAAGAAGCACACCAGCCTGTGTGACCATGAAGTGTCGATGGGATCAGGTATCAGACATCAAAGACCCAAAACAAAAAATCATTATCAATGTGAATGAGGGGACGTACAGAGTGGAGATCCAAAGCCCATCTGTAGACAATTGGACCCTTTACATGGGTCACACAGAAGAAATGAGCCAGTCAGGGTGCAGTATAGCACCAATGAAACATACAATTTTCCTCTAGTTCTTT